TAGAGAAATGTTTGCTGACTCGAATGATGCAAAAATCATTCTATTATCATGAAAATTAACTGAATAATTAGTGGTAATTTGCGAGTGACTGCATTTATTTTGATGATGATGAGAAGGAGGAGCATTGATCCTAATAAGAACAATAGGCCAAAAAATATTCTTTGATAAATGATTCATAAAATTCCAGCTGTTTAAGGCCAACGGAGTTTTTCTTTCTTTTCTTTAAAATCAGTGACATCAATTCAAAATTATGACATTACTAATAAATGATAAACTATGATAACTCCATCATAATTTTGTATCGATCAAAAAGTATCAAGACTTATGCTATACTAATATATTCACGGTTTTTTTTAAAAATTATGGTCCTTTTCTTATAAAAATAATTCGCAGAAAATTCTAATAAAGTATCGTAAACAATCATATTTTCGACACAATGTTAATGAAAGATGATGATGATGATGATGATGATTTTAAGTAAGAGTTAAATAAAACTGGATTCGATTAAGTAAAATAATATCTTTCTCCTATGTCATTGTGATGTAATAGAATATTTCTTTTTATAAATAAATTTACTTTCATAACTTCTTTTCAAAACTTGATGAAACTATATTATGTTTCTAGAGTCCAAAAAAAGGCACTTAGTTAAAGATAAAAAATATCAATCAGCGAAAAGACAGCTATTTAATTTCAATATTAAACTTAATTGTAGTGTCAATAAAAGGTTTACCTTAGAAGTGTACAACAAGGTTTCTTTGTGAAGTATTTTTTCCTAAATATGTGACTTATTTTTAGTTCTCGTAAATTTCAAAATCCACAACAACTTCTCCATGACATTGATGATATGAATGCAAGTAATTCATTACAACATCCAGCTGGTTCTGTTTCTACCGTAATAATGTGTCAAAATAGTATGGCAGCACAATCAAATCCATACACCATATACTCTTTATGCGGCAACTCAATCACAAATACGAGAAGTTTCCAAGCTGGACAGTCAACGTATTCATCTTATGCAACATGCTATCGATGCTATGCAATTGTTGATACAAATTTTACCTTTTGTGTAAAATATAATCGATATTGTTGTAACTAATGTAAACAAACGTTCTTCACATTTAATACGGTATTCTGTGAATACTGTATGATTCAAGAAGCTCTTACAAGTACTTAAAAGTAAAACAGAATTTAAGTTAATTAATTTTTTCTTGATTGTTGAGTTCTATTCTACCAAAGAAATAATATCATGCTTATTTTATATTTTTATTCACTGAAATGTGGTAACTTGCTATATTTATTGTATGTTCTAATAGTTTATGTTTTTTTTCTTATTATTTTGTTATATTTGTTGATATAATTGCAAATAAGTTTGCAAAAAAAATGGAAATATTTTGAAATATTAGCATTTTTTATTAATCATCATTTGAATATTGAACATATAAATCTAGTCATAATTTTTGAAAATGTATAGATGTGTGTAACTCGATGAGAGGAATATTTTGATTGGTAAAAGTGATAGAAAATTATGTTTATTTCTCGCAAAAGTTAAGTTCTAAGGGTTTCAGTTAAATTGAAAGAGTTTGCCAAATTACCCC